GGGGGGAGTGGGGGGTGGAGTGGGGGTGGTGGGTGCTGGGTCAAGTTCTAACGAATTTTAAAACTTTTAACAATTTAGTATGGACTCCACTCCTGCTCCTGAAATCACAGGTCCTCTAGTTTGCCTAAGCTATCTAGAATATCTAGGAATAGCAATGATGAGTCTTTAAGTACCATTGCACCTCTTAAATAAGAAAAGTGAATTGGCTATTTGCGTTTTTTATATCCAAGTTAGAGCCAATCTGATACATTACCTTATCGGTCTATCTCTTCAGATACATTAATGACAGAGATTCAAGACATCACCAATGATATTCTGCCATTAAATACGTACAGGTATGCACAAAGATGTAATGGCCAAGTGCATGATTTCACGAATTTGTTTAATTTCAAAATCATTCACTACCACGGCCTTTGGAGGGCGTACTTTGCCATTCTGACGTAGGTCCTTTCAATACTGCAGCCAGGTGATGCAGATCCAAGCGCGCACACACACATGAGTCATTGATTTGATAGACGAGTCACTCATAGAACGGGGGCGGGTGGAAGGATGACAGGTGAGCGAGAAATCGAATCACTTTTGCAGCCTAAGTAAACGCTACGATCAATATCATAATAAGTACTCAATAGCAGGACACTTGAGCCTTACGAACTAGTTAGTGAGGTGGTGGAGGGGGAGGGTGGAGTGGGTGGATTCAAGAAGTTACTGACTTATATGACAAAGTGTTTTTGGGGAGCCTTGTCGTTGATATGAAAAATTTACATGTTATGTACAAGGGAATGGAATGATATATACTTCGAAATAGTGGGAATGATTCAACAAGCTATAATGGATGTATCCAAAGTGGAAATTCGTAGTATCGCGATGTCAATGAAACTACGTGGGCTTCAATTGAAGTAGGCATATATTCGGTTTAGCTCTTTTCCGAGGTCTTAGTTTTAAATTAAAATTAAATTGAATTAAAATTAAAGATACAAAATTGACCTATACGACGGAATCTGCACAATTCCAAGTGCATTTTTAATTATTTTCCTAATATACATTCTACTGTAATAAATAAGTAAAACATTTATTGTAACAATTTAAGAAAGGAATGAAATACGTAACTTTCATGTAAATTCATCATATATTTGCGTCGGGCTTTAACTTCAATTGAATGCCAACGTTATCAGATCAAAACTGTAAATAATTAATTTTGAAAACTAAATGATTTATATAAGTAACACTTTTGCTGTAAACATGGCGGTCGTTTTCAAAAATTTTTTCTCATTTTAGAGAGCTTCAACTGTCATGATATTAAATATTTCGTTTAAAGCAGCCCGACATTTTAAAAAAGGAATTCAGAAGAAATCCAAAACTGGAAAGATCTTGTAGAATGGGGTATTGCGATCTTTATTTCTATGCTGTGATTCGCTACTGCAAATCCGACATTTTAATTACAAATATCAGGATTTGCTTCCTTTTTTATGTTCACACAATTTAATTGGTCAATTAACCACTTCTTAAACGTGCCTTTCCCTTTTTACTAACGCACGATAAAGGGTTTGAATAGAGCTCTAATCCATTTTGGGCAGAGTCAAGAAATGATAAGGTACCCAACTTGTGAATTTTGTGTTTGCACCATGGTTAGAATTATTGGTTATATGGACGTTAATATTATGGATCAGCGGGTTCATATTATACTCGCGTCAATATCTAGGAGTATTGATCTTTTTTTCGAAATATGTATTAATTATTTATTTATATCAAATGGCAGGGGTTTTGATGGTTATCATTAGGTCTTTAGTTGACTCCAGGCTCCACAGAGGGGAGGGAACATCAAAATGAAAAAAAGAGTCTAGACGGGGGATGACAGAAGAGCGTTTCAAAAACGAAGGTAGAAAAGGTGGGAAAAAAGTGAAGTGAGTACTGTGGAAGCTGTCGAATATGACATACAATGGGGTGATGGTAGTTTGAAGTCAGAAGTCAACTGCCGCTTTATAGACCTTTTTTGCCGTATGAGTATACGTTGCCCAGTGTGCACCACGTGGAGGTAAGTCTATCGCAAACCCTTTTTCGAAATATAATTCTTTTCTTGTCAATCACTTTTTCACCTTAACTATTTGGTCAATTTTTTTATCCTATCTCTCTTTACTTCGCCACAAATTAAACTCAAAAGAGGCTAGTCCTAAATTATCAATCAGTCGACAGCTTTAATCCGTTCTCCCCTTCCTATAGTTTTAGCTTAATTCCATGTAGAAGCGAGCGAAAAGTAAAATTCTTATATCGGATATTAAAAGAAGTTTCCTGCAAAGCGTCTCACATGAAAAGTTTCAGTTAGCAAATCCTTTCTACTCAAATTTTCATGAATTATTCATGATTAATAATTTCTTGGGAATTCGAGTTAGTTTTCAGACAACTTGGTGATTGTCAAAAACGCTTGCAATCGACAGGACCCTACTGACATGTCTATTTAATCTAATGTGGAAACCCAAATGACGATCAGAAAGCACATTTTCATTTTTAAATCCTTATTCAATATGCATTTTCCGTACTTTTACAGTTAGAGTCATGTGACTTTTACCAAGGATTCACTGTTTCTCGTTTCTACTACACACAGCTATAGTTGCGCAGTAGTTGATCTGTCTGATTCATTAAGGCGTGACAACTGTTGAAACCCTTGCAGTTCGTCTTGGTAAACGTTCTTTTCTTTTGCCAGAAGGCATTTAGATGGTAATGTCGAAAACATTTTGAGATTGGTAACAAAACTACAATTATCATCACTTCAACGGGTTCATCAATGCCGTTTCCTGTTCGCTTTGCAATTATATTATAACACTTCCTTTTCTGCTTAAAATGTGGAAGATAAATGATTTAATGTATTAAGAGCCAGTAAATATTTCTTATCTTTTCAAATGAATCATGATCCATCTTTCAATCTTTTATCACGTCTGTCACATCAAACTCTAAAACTGTTAGTAAGCTTTTTAAAATTCTCCTCATTAATATTACATCGCTGTAATGTATAAAACCATGAATCGATTTCTCCTTTAAATGCTGGTTTAATAATAGCAATTTTAGCGACATTACGGTTAAGGGATTAAATATCCTAATTTTTGGTATTTT